GCTGTCGGATGCGAACAGGAGGAGGGTGTGTGTGTGTGTGTGTGTGTGTGTGTGTGTGTGTGTGTGTGTGTGTGTGTGTGATATAGATGAAGTGAGACGGATTTAGGCAGCTATTCTCCAAGCAACACTCAGCGGTGTTTTGTTACTGAATCATTCAGTGTTTTGAACAAATCAGTTGAATCAATGACTCACTCATTAAATGACTTGCTGCCACCTGCTGGTGGTTTAGTATGTTTAAAATGATGCACCCCCCCCCCCTCCAACTTTTGTGATTTGTATACTCAAAAATGTATTTTAAACATTTATTAGTAAATTAATTAATTTGACTGGTTACAGCCCTATAGTGTAGGCTATACTAAGTTTATTTGGCAATTGTAAGAATTTGACACGAGTGGTGATGCATACATTTAAAAAGGTATAACAATAGTCCCTAATAAAGGCGAATAAGTCCTAGGGTAAATATAAAAAATATTCAGACCCAAGTATGTAAAAGCTGATAGAACACTGATGAAAATATTGGTTTAGAATAAATTTACACCACCAAAAACCTCAGTGATGCAGTGCTTTTGTGGGAAAGTTTGTGTGGAATATTGTCTGCTAATAATAAATAGCAATGACGGTGACGATATTTTGTTTTCTTTTTTACATTAAACACATTAAATATGACATATGTATGTAATATAATGTTACATTTCATATAAGGTGGTATTAAAGTAGAAACCCTGGAAGCACACAAAGACAAGCATTGCTCCTGAGAGATTGAGTCGGAGTGAATCAATTATCAGATGGTCTCTGGATTAAAATGTTCAATTATATCTGGTCACCGCAAAGCTCCCCAATATGATTCAGAATTCAGCTGTTAGTAATGATAATGTAACGCATTAGGAGTGGTCAGTGGGGTCTTTTGGGGCAGTTGTTGGCGTTAGATGTGATAGGGTAAGTTCTGATATGTTAAGCCACTTCATGGATGTCATTGTGTGATGTTGTTTGCAGAATATATCCAGACCATCATGATGATGGAGGAGTCTGTGCAGCACGTGGTCATGACGGCCATCCAAGAGGTCAGTCAGCGTCTAGAAACTCTGCTCAAGTGCACCGAGGGCAGAAGATGCTTTAAACACAAACGGTGCTCACACCAGACGATGATTTAATTTAGTTAATCGAAGTTAATTGATACAGAAAATCTATTTATGATTTGAAAATCTATCATTTTACAGCTTAAAGTGCCAAAAACTTTTATCAGCACTGTAGCTTTGCAGGAGGTTTCTTGAAGCGTCAGTTCTTCTGGATTGAGTCTGTCTCAGTTTGTTCTGTTTCTTCATGTGACTCCAGACAGACTGATGATGATCAGATCTGAGCTCTGTGTGCAGCACTAACATATATCTCACTGCATTATTACAGTTAATGGCACAATGAATGTTTGGAAACGTAAACTGATATGTCCTCCTGACACACTCCAGCAAAAGATAGAAACAACTGACTTCAAACCATTTCTAGCTGCTGGGAATACTAGCGTTCTGATTATTTTGGCCAGCAGTGTGTGTTGTAGACTGGTGTTAATGTGTGTGTTGTTCCCGCAGCTGATGAGTAAAGAGTCGCCCGTGTCCTCCGGAAGCGACTCGTTCGTTGATCTGGACCGACAGGTAGTTTCTGCTTCGCAGGAATCTGGAGCACAGTTAATAAATGCAGGGCTGAGTTTGTGTGACGTGTGTTTTCCTCTCGCTCAGCTGAAGAAGACGGTGGAGGATCTAAACGACGCTTTGGCCACTAAAGAGGAGATCGCTCAGAGATGTCACGAGCTGGACATGCAGGTACGGACGCGTCTCCAGTCACGCGTGTCTGGGGCGTATCACGGAAAGATCCTAACTCTAAATCTTATCTTACCTGTTGGTAACATGGTCATTTCAGTTAGGACAACAAAAGCTATTACAGAACCGCATTTTCTAAGTGCATTATCTGATCTTAACTACAGATAGGAAGGGGGTATTGCAGAAACCTCCTAAAATCTTTCTTAACTTTAGGGCAACCCCACAACTGTCCTAACTTCTAAATTATTTTAAAGCTAACGGAACAAACTGTCCAACCGTTTTTTCTTCACAGACTCAGCTGTACGGTTAATGCTCAACTCTTGCCCGCTTCCCGTCTTTCTCTTCGTGAGTGAGCGAAGGTGAAAACTTACCAAATAGTATCGGCTTTGCCTTTTCTACCGAACGTATCAAAGTTTCAATTTCCGCGGCACTGAAGTGAAAAGCTCGGTGGTTTTGTGTATCCATTGTTTACCTCATTAGCAGCTTGCGGTTGCTTGGTAACAGACCTGAGAGTGGATTGTCGAACTTGATGATGCAGTTTTAAGATTCATATGGGCTTAAAAATATATCACGATATTTCTGGTATTTATTGCGATAACGATATCAATGACAATAATTCAGGGAATCCTGTTTCTTTAGAGAAAAGTATTCTCTTTCCTATTTTTACCCAAAATAGGGTGTTGTGAGCGTTATTGAGCACACACGTAATGTAATGAGTGTTTAACTCACACTGGAAGCCAGGGGGCGCCCTCGCGCAGAAACTCCGCACATGCGTCGCAGAAGTAATAGCACTGACCACACTCCAAGAAATCCCCAATATATCGTCAACGGTATCCAGTTATCGCTAAATATAACACCGATAGAGGATTTTTAACTGATGAAACTTGAAGACAATAAACATATGATTGCACAAAATATATGGCTTATCTGTGTGCTTCAAGCAAGCTTGTGTATTTTTTATAAGGAAGTATATTTATAATGCAATGCTTTATCGCTGTATATAATACTATCACTCTGTAATATGAAACCACGTCTGGTCACAAAAAGAAGTTATTTCAAACACTCGACTATGTTATTAATTTGAAGAAAAGGCATGTCAATAAATGATATGTTTGTAAACGGGCTCATACACATATCGCACACGTGCTACTGTACTACATTTATTCAAGGCTCAGAGCTATTTTTTTTTTTTGTGACCAAATCAGTTCCAGATTGTAGAAGGAGCTCCTCATTTAATGATAAACTCCTCAATTTCACGTCCGCCGCCTTCCACACGGTCGCACACAGAAATATGTCAACAACTAGACTTTATCGTTATTATCCCGGGAAGACTAATTGTTATCGTTCCGTGTCTGTGGGCAGCCCAATGTAAGACATGATAAGAATCCCTAATCACGTTAAAATTTGCTTCTGTAAAACGAACTTGCAAAAAGTCCTAATTTATCGTATCATCTCTTAAATGAAGATTTAAGATATGAAATATTCTGTAATGCGCCCCCTGATCCGCATCTCACCGCTGAACCTCACTAATCAGGGTCGGTTCACATCCTAGAGTTTTTATTAGCAGATGTTTGGTCACTAAACGATGCACGGATTAAATCTGTGCAGTGCATGCTCAGGTTAACACGGTAAAGCGCCGCCACTTCATTCATTCTCTCCTTTTTAACCGATGTGTGTGTGTTTGGTAGTGAATGTGTTGATTAGGCGAATGCTCACTGCTTGTGAAGTGTTGTGGAGTGCTTCAGTGTGCTGTTGTTGATGTGGTAACCTCTCCTCCTCTGCCTTGCTTTTGAAGGCGTACCTCGTCCAAGAGGAGCGAGATAGACTGAGGTTAGAGTGTATTGATCTAGAAGACAGGGTAAATGTCTTTATTTTCTTCTGCTCTCACCCTTTGTTGTTTTTGCATCCAGAATTTGCTGTCTGCTTGATAACATCCCTAATTAGTGTGCAGGGCCTTTAACTGTGTGTGTGTTTGTGTGTGTGTGTGTGTGTGTGTGTGTTAGAGTGTTTTTGTGTGTGTTATAGAGTGTGTGTGTGTGTGTGTGTGTGTGTGTGTGTGAGAGTGTGTGTGTGTGTGTGTGTGTGTTCATGTGTGAGAGTGTGTGTGTGTGTGTGTGTGTGTTCAGTGCTGTAACCCTGTAGACTAATCCTCAATCCTCCCTGTGTGACGTGGCCCTATGGTTCCTATGGCAACAGTAGACGCCACCATGGGCCAATCAGCTGACTGCAGCGCTTGATATCTGTACACACTGATAGATCCATCCTGCAGCAAAACTACCCAGAGTTCAGTGCGCAGGAGCTCGTGTCTGAACATGTGACCGCAGCTTCGCTTGAGTGTAGAGTCAGACCGCCGCATGATGCACCTATGAAATTGATTGATTTGTTATTGAGTATATACGTATGAGTTTAATACATTCATCTGTACGTCTGCTTTAAACATTTAGATCCATTTAGAGAATAAGACATAATTAATTTCACTTACTAGCAAGTGCATATTGAAGTGTTTTTTTTTTTTAATAGTTCAGCCAAAAATGAACATGTGCTGTAAATGTGTTCACCCGCAGTTCATCCGAGATCAGGATGAGTTTGTTTCTTCATCAGGTTTGGAGAAATGTAGCACTGCATCAGTGTCTCAGCAATGGATGCTCTGCAGTGAATGGGTGCCGTCAGAATGAGAGTCCAAACAGCTGATAAAAACATCACAATAATCCACAGCACTCCAGTCCATCAGTGAACATCTGGAGAAGACAAAAGCTGAAACACATCCAGCATTAAGACGCTTTAACTCAAATACATTGAGTCCAAAATAACTCTTTTAACTCATAACCCATAATAACTCTTCCTCCAGTGAAAAAGTGTTCTGTTGTGAATCAGGAGAGAAATCTGCACAGACCCTTAAATATTTTGTCTTCTCCAGATGTTCACTGATGGCCTGGAGTGCTGTGGATTATTGTGATGTTTTTATCAGCTGTTCGGACTCTCATTCTGACGGCACCCATTCACTGCAGAGCATCCATTGCTGAGACACTGATGCAGTGCTACATTTCTACAAACCTGATGAAGAAACACACTCATCCTGATCTCAGATGAACTGAGAGTACATTTTTGGGTGAACTGTTCATTTAAATATATGGAAGTATTGACTCGAGGCTGGTTTTCAGTAATAAACACTGATTGAGAAACGCCTGGTGTTTCTATATGCAGCACATCCACCGTCATCAGTACTGACACACACGCACACACTCATATACACACTCTCTCTCTCTCTCACACACACACACACACACACACAAACACTCTCACACTCACACTCTCTCACACACTCTCACACTCTCACACACACTCTCACACACACTCTCTCACTCACATGGCGGCGCTCCAGGAGGAGAAGAGCAGTCTTCTGGCTGAGAACCAGGTGCTGATGGAGCGGCTCAACCAGTCGGACTCCATCGAGGATCTGAACAGCCCAGCGGGACGCAGACACCTGCAGCTTCAGACGCAGCTGGAGCAGCTGCAGGAGGAGACCTTCAGGTGAGGAGTGCAGACCATGCTGGGGGTCAGAGGTCACCGTGCTGAGGGCTGATCCGAGGCCAGCCGGTTTACATTTTCATTAGCATAAGAGTATGACTGTGTACAGTTATTTTTGCCACTCATCTTATTGACTGTGCATTTGTAGGACACTCTCGTGCTGAGCTCACCACATTAGTTCTGTCACGCTGTGAATGAATCCAGAGATCAGATCAGCTCTCACTGAACGTGTCAGTCGCTCATTATATCACGGCAGCTTCACGTCTGATTGAACACAGGGTTTCATCTCGATCTGAGGAAAACCTGATTAAGATTTCTACATTTAAAAATGCCATCTTCATGAACGAAATACAAAATGTTATTTTCATTATTGTAATGCAAAAAAAAGATATTCAATTAAAGTGCGTTTTACAATGTTTTTATGTTAGAAATGTACTTATTTAAGAATCGTCTGGTTGTATTGCAATTTTTTTGACATTGAGACTTTTATTTTTGGTTCCAGTGTGTGATACTATATTGCCAAAAGTATTAGCACCCCCCTCCTTCTAATGAACAGGTTTGATTACTTTAGTAATTTCCATGAGTTCAAATCTTAATGTTGGAGCATATAATGGTATTCTAGGGAATTATGTGCTTCTGATTTTATACCAATAGTTTGTACAGGACCCTTTTCTATTCTAACACAACAGTGCCTCTGTGTATAAGGCAAGGTTCAAAAGAAATGATTGATTGAGTCAGTGTGGAAGAACTTGACTGGTCTGCTGTGACTTTAAATGCAGACCTTGAGTCAAAAACTCATCACCAAACACTGATGACTTGCACATATGGGTGCATTTATTTTAGACCCTTCCAAAACTGTTGCAGCAGAGATGGAAATACAAGTTTTAAATTATGTTTCCATCTTTGTTGCCACAGTTTTGGAAGTGCCTTTTTCTGTTCTAAAGAAGATGGTGTCCCAATACTTTTGGCAATATAGTGTATGTTTATTTAGCTTCAATGTTATGTTCTGAAATATTGATGTGAAATATTTGAGATGATCAGGTGTGTGATTGACGGCGAGTTTTGTGTGTGTGTCAGATTGGAGGCGGCTAAAGACGATTACCGCATCCGCTGCGAGGAGCTGGAGAAGGAGCTGATGGAGGTCAGAGGTCAGAATGAGGAGCTGACCTCTCTGGCCGAAGAGGCGCAGTCGCTCAAAGACGAGATGGACGTGCTGAGGTGAGAGACAGACCTGAGCTCACAGAGAACCAGCGCTGAGCATGAGTTACGAACACGTGTACGTGTGTGTGTGTGTGTGTGTGTCTGTATCTCTGTGCTTCTCTGTCTGTGTGCCTGTGTCTGTGCCTGTGTCTGTATCTCTCTGTGTCTGTGCCTGTCTCTGTGTGCCTGTGTCTGTCTGTGTCTGTATCTCTGTGTGCCTGTGTCTGTCTGTGTGTGCCTGTGTCTGTCTGTGTCTGTATCTCTGTGTGCCTGTGTCTGTCTCTGTGTGCCTGTGTCTGTCTGTGTCTGTATCTCTGTGTCTCTGTGTGCCTGTGTCTGTCTGTGCCTGTCTCTGTGTGCCTGTGTCTGTCTGTGTCTGTATCTCTGTGTCTCTGTGTGCCTGTGTCTGTCTGTGCCTGTCTCTGTGTGCCTGTGTCTGTCTGTGTCTGTATCTCTGTGTCTCTGTGTGCCTGTGTCTGTCTGTCTCTGTGTCTCTGTGTCTTTCTGTGTCTGTATCTCTCTGTGTGTGTGTGTGTGTGTGTGTGTGTGTGTGTGTGTGTGTGTGCGTGCATGCGTGCGCGCGCGTGTCAGGCACTCGTCTGATAAGGTGTCGAAGCTGGAGGCGCAGGTGGAGGTGTATAAGAAGAAGCTGGAGGATCTGGGGGATCTGAGGCGGCAGGTGAAGCTGCTGGAGGAGAAGAACACCAGCTACATGCAGAACACCGTGACGCTGGAGGAAGATCTGCGCAAGGCCAACGCCGCTCGAGGACAGCTGGAGACCTACAAGAGACAGGTGATCCAAAATCTACATTGGTGACCTGTTTTTCATGACTAAGACCAGACAGAGACATCATTAGTCACCAACTGTGACTGTCAACATCGTTGACTAAAAAAAAAAGAAGAGTAAAATGTAGTTCAAATAATATAAACTCTCTATATCTAGAAACAAAAAGAGAAGAAAAAA